TAAAAACAGTATGGACAGATTTAGTAGTTATCCGACTTCATAAACACAGAATGAGAGAAAGCTATGGAAACTAACAAATAATATGAAGTATTAAAAGGAGACTATTTTCATCAAAATTTTTCCTGTGTCTGAAGTGTTTATACTTTTAGCTGTAGAAGTCACATATCGGCAAAAATGATATTTTACGTTTAATATGTGCAACATATACCTAACAATTAATCTTTGTTATTAGAATCCTTCTTCCACACCTGGGGAAGAGATAAGATATTTTAAATGTTGGAGAATGATAACTGGCTCTAAATGATTGTGGCTTCACAGTCAGAATGATGCTATCTTTGAATAGGCTACGTTGGAGAAAATCATCCAACTCCAGTCTTTCAAGATGAGAAAAAGGACTTCAGTTTTCTCAGCCTGGGAGTTTAAATGATACTTTCCTCAGTAAGACTATTTATACACGATACATTCACTGATTGCTGCTTTGTGGTGAAGAATACTACCAATCATATCAAAGTGGGAAAAATTCCATAAAGTTGATGCATCTATTAAAGTGGAGACTTCTGTGTTTGGAAGGACTTTATCTTTTACTTGATTCAGAGACGACTTTGATGAGCTTTGGTAGTCACTTAAAATAGTTATGTAAAATTCTTGATAGTGTCATCCAGTCTATATTTGAAATGATACCGAGAGTAAAGCATCAACACACAATCTTTCTCAGAGAAGTAACTGCTTATATTTCTATTTTCTAGGATTTTTTTGTTTATTTGTTTGTTTTTTGGTGGCAGGGGGCATTTAAAGAGTCTCAGAAACATTTGAAGCATGTTTACCCTCTATATAGTTTTGTATAAATTGTACTTTGCAGTCAGTATTCCTTACCTGCTGTTTCTAAATATCACCATGCTTTAAGAACTGTAGTCCGTTTCTGATTCTACTTCCAATAATCAGTACAGTAATAAGAGGAAAAGAAGAAATGGGAATTTTCTCTAGCTGTATCTTTCAAAGGGTTTGACGCCACAGAGGGAAAAATAGCCAAAAAAGGCATGTCTCATAATATTTTGTGGTGATGAGATGACTACATAGCATCTTGAGACCTCTCAAACCTATTTTTCAGTATTAAATAGAAATCTCAGCTAAAAGGAGTAGGTGCATACTGGTGCCTCTTCTCCCTCCCTTCCCCCATGCTTTAAAGAAATAGAGAAAGGCATGATCTTTAAGTCTCCAGGATTTATTTTCTCCAGAATTTCAATACTGTCTTTCTGCTTGCATTATTTATTGATTACTTCACATAAAAAGAAAAGAAAAAAAATCAACATTCAATAGTTTTCTATTTAGCTTTTATTTTTGGCTTGGATCTTTGTTTTTACTTTTTGCCTTATATATATTATACTTTTCAAACCACAGAGTAAAATAGAACAATACATTATGTGAAATAGAACAATACATTATGTGATTTGTGGAGGGAAACTACTGTAATTAAAGGCAAGCAATAATCACAATAAAGTGGCGTATGTTGAGAACAAAATCACCGTATTACGAGGACAGACTTATTGGCTGGCACCTGTAAACTTTGCTTGTTCTTTTTCTATTTCATTTCAGTCACTTGCTTCAAAGGAGACCGCTTACTGGTAAAACCAGCTTTCTGGTTTTACATAGCAGTGTAACACAGCAGTGTCAACATAGCAGTGGTGGTGGTGCACCACAGGTCTTTGTTCCCTATACCAGGCAGTGTGACCACCTCTGGTACATCAGAGGCCTTGAACCAGAGAGAGCTCCTGAGGGAGGATGCAGCTATCCTGGTCACAGACATGCGGTCAGGAGAAGAGGTGGTTGAGCTATTAGTTGAAAGGAGATGAAGGAGATGAGCACCGACATAACATCTGTGCATAGCTACTATGCATAGTGGCATAGTTATTTACCTTTGACTTTTGTAAGACTTTCTGTACTCTCCCATAGCATCCTTGTAGCCAAACTGAGGAGAATAGACTAGATGGATGGACTAAAAGATAGATAGATGAAATTCTGGCTAGACTGTTGGGCTCAAGGGACAGTGGTTGATGGTTCAAAGTTTATCTGGTGGCTGTTTACAAGTATTATTCCTCAGGTGTCTGTAGTGGGGTCAGTAATTTTTAACATCTTCACTGGTAATCTGCTCAGCTGGACAGAGTGCATCCTCATCAAGTCCATGGATGGCATCAAACGGGGAGGAGCAGTAGTCATGCTTGAGGGTAAGACTGCCATCAAGAGGGACCTTAAAAAAGTGAAGAATGAGCCAACAGGAATCTCATGAAGTTCAGCAAAGACGAATGCAAAGTCCTACACGTAGGTCAGAGTAAGCCCATGCAACAATATTGGCTAGGTAACAGCTCTGCAGAAGGACTTGGGGATCCTAATGGACAGCACATTGAGCATGAGTCAGCTGTAAGCACTTTCAGTGATGAAGGCTAGCACAAATGGGGCTGCATTAGGAATAAAATGGTCTGCAGATCAGAGGAAGTGATTATTCCTTTCTGCTTTGCATTTGTAAAGCCACATCTCAAATACCTACATCTAGGATACTGGCTCAGTTTTGGTCCTCTCATGGAACAGAGATTTGTGATTTAAACCTATTAGCCAGGAGATTGGACTAGATGACCTTCAGGATCCCTCAAATCCTGTTCTTTGACTCTGTGTAAATATCCTGTGAGTGAAGCATTCAGAACTCTAGATAAATTTGTTTGAATCTATCAACAGGCTTTTATAACTAAGCACCATATTTTAGTAAGGAAAAGGATGTGACAACTGGAGTTGTAGAGTCATCTAAAGCATTACCAGCATCATGCTTTCAAACTATAGAAGATTAGTTCATTTTTATAATAAAATTCTTGGTTTTTTGTTTTGTTTTTATCTTGATTGCCTAGTGCATTGGTTGCTAGCCGAAGAGTTTACTTCTGTGATCTTTCATCAGCCGCTTGTATAACTTTGTGCTACTTGAATAGAGCATTCATATTGCATTCATTTATGTTCCTACTCTGCATGAGTTAGAAACCTAGGCGTTCTGTGGGTTCAGTGGAGAGTATTTACTATTTCCTGCTTCGGTTAAATGTATGTTAACTTTGATATTTAAATTTGATGTCTAAAGCAGGCATTGTGAATGGTGTAACCTCCTGGCAGCAGATTCAGCCTCTTTCCATGCTCCACTGTCTACAGTACATAGGCGATAACAGAACTTCCCTATCTCAAAGGGATGTGGAAGAGATCATTCCATTTAAGTTTATAAGTTATTCCATTTCAGCATTGTTGGGGGCTTTAGGTAAAAGGAACAGTATATGTGAGAGATTGTTATTTCACTCAGTTTTTCTGAAGATAATATAAGGATATATTTTTTTATTTTATTTTTTATTTATTTTTTATTTATTTTATTTATTTTATTTATTATTTATTTATTTATTTTTCTTTCTGAAGAGGGGAGACAGGTCTTTTGCAATGAGTGTTACACAGCAGTGCACCATTGTCATTAGATTTTAGTAGTTACTGGGCTAATTCAATAGTGAAGGAAAAAAAGAAAACAAAGGAATCAACAGATGTATGTCTTCAGACAGAGAAAGTTGCTATCTTACATCTTCAGAGAGAGAATGTCATTTTTGCAAGAGGCAAGTATAATGCTTTACAACTTATGCTTTAACAGTAAAGCATATTAGCTAATATATACATTTCTATTGGGATACTCTCTTGTAAATGTTGTATTTAGTGGGAATTTTGTAAAACCATTTTTAGCAAGTATATATATTTGAGTCTTTGTGTTCACCATCAAACTCCCTATAAATGACAAATGTTAGGTTAATAATTTTTTTTAGTAAGGCGTGAATAAACATACCTTGTAACCTCCATGTGTCACTTTGAATGCTTATTTTGGCATATATTGTAACCTAAGCATTGCTGGACTTTGCCTTACCTCAGAGGATCCCAGGCAAACCCTGCAACTTCATAGAGCACTATCCTTGAGCCAATATCTTATTTTCTTCTAGGTTAGTCCTGAAAAGAAACCAATATACCATATAAGTATAAATATATCTGCTCCACAAATGTACCAGATAGCAGCAATATTTTCCAAATGACATATAAAAGAAACAAATACACAACTTTTCAACTATTTATAATGGTGTTTTATAGTAGTATTTGAGTAAAATCTAATTTTCATGACAGTCGTGGGCACTGATATTGTTTATGGCACTTTCTGAAGTTCTGTTGCTGAAAATATTGCATGTTACATGTTTTAAAGAAATCTAGACCAGTGCACTTCCGTGCCACTACTTAATTTTCTGTTGTTCCAACTGAAAAATGCAATAGTTAAAACTGAATTATGATATCCAGTTCCAACATCCAGATGTGTGGGATTTCAGATGTACATGGATGGTGCCTAACTTACTGAAAGTAGTAAAGAAAGCACTGACATTTTCAGAACAAAGTTGTACTATATATAAGATGCATAAAAAGTGAGTAACTGCAATTAGAAATTAGCATATGTAGATGCTATTATAAAAACGGCCTTACACTGAAAAATGTTTTAAAGAAAATTTTAAGTACATTTTTCAGATTTTCTGTGTCATAAAGGAGATTAAAGGAAGCATCGCTTAGAATTTTATATAGAAAATTACAGCAATATAATAAATTAAAACTAGGGAAGTCAACTCTTTGCAACTTATATATCCTTAGTGAGTGAAACCAAATGAAACCAGAAATGTAGGAAAAAAGTCATCTTGGTTTCAAGATTTTTTATAGTTGTTCAAAAAGTTCTAATGCATATGTCTTCAGTATGCCACATTAAGGTCAGTAATTATAAACATATATTTATACTCCAGCAAATAAATGACCAGGGCGTATAGATATCGGTACAGAGAAAGGACTTGTTGTATGTATTACTCCTGATACTGTCCGTTATTATGCTTCTTTCTGTTGCCTTTCCTTTGGGCAGTTTCAGAAAATTGACATATCTTCCCTTATGGATATGTTTCTTCTTACTGCAGATCTAATGCATTTGAAGTGCTGGCACTCGATGGAGTTAGTACTGGGATACTTCAGTTTTATACAGCCCAGGAGAGTGCTGACTGGCTGAGAGCAATATCAACTAACATCAGTGATTTGACACTTCAAAATGTATGTTACTTTCTGCATATTTTTTTGTGTATGCTGTCTTTAAATTATTTATAATTTTCCAAAGGCAGACAATAATTCACATTTAAGACACAAGATATACAACAAATACGTGTGTATTGGGACAAAAAGGAGAAAGGAAAGAGGAGAGGGCTTCTAGAAAATCAAAACCGTGCTGAAGTTCTCAAGACTTGCAGTGCTATTGTAAAACAGAGAGCAGTAGAAGTTCAGGTTGGTTTTATCACTTTAAAGATTTTGGTCAAGGCAAAATATAGACCCTTTCTGGTCATTTCACAGGGCTTTGGATAGGACCAATTATATCATTTTTGTATACTCAAAATTAATGTGCTTAAAACTTGGTTTCAGAAATTAGTATTTGTTGATTTTGAAGTAGGCATGTGGAAGTTTTGTAACTAGTTAAAAGTAACTTATAGGGGCTCATTGGGAAGTGGTATTTTTACCGCTCTAACTTTCCTAGGAATTGGTTTATTTAAAGTCATATATTCCCTCTTGCTGCCTCCAGGTATAAGGGTGCTTATGCCAGTGCAAATGACTCCAGTAAATTCAAAAGTAGCATTTATTATTGAAAACAGAGGTACTAAATAAACCGTGGAGAAACAGAAAATCATTATTTGGACAACAGGTTATTATTCCAAGAAAGAATAACTGGAAACTATTGAAGATTCTAGAATGAAACGTAAAGTCAAGTAGGCAACCTGATAATGTACACTCTTGAAAATATATACTAGTTTTTTTGTTTTTGTGGAAATCAATGATGAAAGAAATACAAGCACAGTTTGCCCTGAAAGAATTACCTTGGCGGATTTTAATCTTTTTCCTAAAGATTGTTAAGACTGAATTGTCTTTCATAAACCAGGATCTGGTAACATAAATTTCTTAAATTTGTACTCCAGGTTAAATGATGCTTAGTTATTCAGATTATATTGTGTAGAATTTGTATCAGGTTTAAATGTAAATCTTTGATCAAACTAGATAATAATTTGAATTTTTTTGTCTTCAAAAGTTACTTGGAATCATATATTTTGTCACATTAGTTCTTCTATTAAATTAATACTTTTTTAAAATTTGAAATCATTTAAGGAGGTATTTGACAAAATACATGTATTTGCCTATGATGTATCCTTTATAAATAATCCCTTCTAGGCACTCTTTAGTAGCTTACCTCATTTAGAGGTTATTGTTTCTGTTTGATAATTCTAGGAAATTGATATACATTATTCATGGTGTTCATAATTGCCTACTGTGTGAACAGTAGAAATAAGTTCACTGTAATATTTTTAGAGCAATTCCACTTCCTAGTACCTAATCCTAAAAAACTCCCATGCGTTAAAGCCACTCCAAGGATGTAGATGAATAAGACAATACAAAGTGACTATAAATACAAGCAGGGCATTTATTAAAATATTTTATTCCTGGTAGGGCTCTAATCTGCTTCTTTGGAACGCAGCATGTGTGGTAGCATGCGTCCTGAGACGGCATCCTCACTGTGTTCTGACTTGTCTGCAAGAATGTTTTGTTATCTACTGAGTACTTTTACTGATCTTCAGTTTTCAGTTATCTATCACAATATAGAGTTCTGCAATCAAAATACTGTGTCTTGGGTCTTCCTCTTTGGGAGGCATTTGATCAGGCTCTGTTAAGAGCAGCGATAAATTCACATGTTCTAGGTAAGACTGGTAGAGAGTAATCTCTATACAGATCATATTAAAAGTGAGTAAAATCTTTACTTGGATTTAGTGCTTAACAGGCTGTGACAGATGTGCAGCCTGTGGAATAACTGGACAGGTCTGGCCACAGTGCTATTTTAACTAATTACTAGTCATCAGAACAACAGATGTAAAAATTAATGAGAAACCATTTTCTTGCAAATCTTTTTTAAGACCAGGAATGTGAGGCTGGAATGCAATTTAAGTAAAAGTTTGCAGTAAAGGAAGGCTCCCTGGCTCTGGGAGAGCCAAGGGGCTGTTTCGTATCCACAGTGCCTAGGGCAAGGCCTTTATACTCGACTTCTTGAAAATCCATTCAGAATGCTTTTTATTACATTATTATTATCTCACAACTGGTCAGTATTTTTCTTTGATCATCTTATTGAAGTTGAAGTTAAGCTATGTATTTGTAATTCCTCAGAAGACCTTTTCCCTATGTTTGCCCTTCTTTAGTCCTATAAAGTCTCAACCATTCTCCAGGAGTCCCTGAAGAGAATCAGAATTCAGAGATTAGCGTTAGGGGTAGGGGTTAGGGTTCAGCTAATTTCCTAACTGCTCAAGGGTTAATGTCATGAGTTCCTACTGACAGTGAGTTTATTGGCTTCTCTAAATATTTAACCTATTCATTTTCTATTCTATCATATGCTGTCATCTCTATAGATAAATGAATTCTGTTAGATATGTGATCAAAATTGACCTTGTTGGCATCAAGAATTTCAGCCTTCTCACCTAAACACTATTAAGTACTTATGCCATACTTTCTATTGCTCACTTTTACTTCTATACAGTTTTAGATTTTCTATGTTTATGTTTATGTTTCTTGATTTTAGCAACTCTTCCTGCACCTTAGTCATTTTTATTTACCTCTGCCTGTCCGTGTCTCTGCTATGTACATCCTTTGTCATATATGTTTCGTACCATTTTGAATAATTTCTTTTTGATTTTTATTTATCTTAAAGAGCTCCTGATGGAGGTGAATTATTCTCTTACAATGCAGCCTATCTTTTCTGCATCATAATCCTTTGCCATTTTGCCCTTAATGTAGTCTCTTTCAGCAGTTGGCAGCTCTGCCAGATCCCCTGCTGATGCCAGAAGACAATCCTAATGTAGGCAATACGAAAATAACTCTGCCACATTCTGCTAATGTCAAACTGCTCTTTTGAAGTACTGAAACATCTAACTTTTATGCAAAGGCAAGCTCTCAGGGGATCAAGTGAAAGGGAGGAGTTGTCTTTTAATAATGAAGGTGTGAGGAGTTGTCACTGCCTAAGGATGCTACCACTGGATGTTAGCATAGCTAGAAAGTGTTACTCTGTAGATGAGAAATAATTTTTCTGGTATTAGCCTGGAGACAATTAGTTCTTATAAGACAGAGAAGCATGGGGAATGTGGCAGCATGGAGAAAGACATAAGGGTGTCTTTTTAGCCTGCCTTCCTGATATTTGCCTTGTATGCTGAGCTAGGAAAACCTCCCACTAACTGTCATCTTTACAAGCAATACAGATTTTTTCTAAAGATCTGTGCCCTGCATTAATCACCATTCTGTCCATACTCTTGTTTTTTGCATCCTTTTCCACGAGAGTGAAACTTCCCTATCCTCTTCCTTTATGATTCAATCCTCAGTCTCCTCAGTGTGCTGCAACATCTTCGCATTTGCCTTTGGAAGAAGAAGAAAACAGAGATGCATAAGCATCTCCCATCTATTTCTTCTTACATCCCTTTTCTCACAGAAGGAGGTACAGTTAAAGAAATTGAGGGAAGAGACGGAATAGAAACTGCAGTGGAGCTTCCGTAATGAATCAAAAAGCAGAGGAAGCAACTTGGTTTGCATGTGCTTCTCACTGCTACTGTTTGATTTGTTTAGTTAGAGGGTTCTTTGTAGGTGAAGTGACGGTGCTGTTCAGGAGAGGTTTTTGAGAGAGAGTTCTCTGGAATAATTTAGAATTGCCCGTCTATTGTGCACCATTCAGATGGCTATCTATTAAACATTTTTCATTTGTGTCTTGGGCTTTAATTAGTTTATTTCGCACATAATCCCAAACATGAATCTAGGCATGATAGGTAGAAACACCTAAGGTTAGTGTTGCCAGTTTATTTGCATCATAGAAACCTATTGCTTATATTTGTAGCTCTCTCAAGGTTTTCTCTTTTTTGAAGTACATTTGGAAGGTATTGTGTTTTTCAAAGTTAATAATAAATAAATGAGCAGTTTGTAAGCAGATAAAGGAATGAAAAGATGCAGTTGTTCCACTTTAACCATTTTTTATAATCTTTTTAAATCATTCCAGCAGCTTCATTGGAGAGTGGTAGAAACTTAAAATTTGGCTTCAAAATAGGGATATTAATCCTAAATCGTATGCTTTTGACGGCTGATTTAATTTCTATGCGTTGTAGGGCTTAAACAGTTTCTTTTATGCTTACATGTGCATGTATATTTAAAACAGTGGAGAGGAATTTCAGTTTGAGTAGAGAGAGTCTTATGAAATATGAACTTTGAACATTCATATAAAAAAAAGGAAAGAGGAGCAGGTCTTACTTTCTTTACATATCAGTACATGAGGTGCATGTAGATCGAAACAAAATCCATTGTGTGTCCATTACCTGTAGGAAGCTGCATACAAATTTTATTGCTTAATGATTATACAAACCATTCTATTTCTGTCTAGAGGGTAGTAACACAAGATAATAAGTTGTTTCTGCTACTTCTGTTTGTTTTTAAACTCAGGAATTCCCATTTGGAAGTACCTCAGATCAAACCACTGAGGTTGTAAAGGATAGTCAGTAAGGGTGGGAATCTTGTCACCTAAACTTAGCCAATCGAATAGGATCCTCTTAAAGTGAGAAAGAAAAATAGGCAGCTGTTGAGATTCTTATGTCTCTGCTGATTAAAAAGAGAATATTGATATATTGAATGTATAACTACTTTTTTTTTTTTTTTTCTCAGGAATTCCCATTTGGAAGTACCTCAGATCAAACCACTGAGGTTGTAAAGGATAGTCAGTAAGGGTGGGAATCTTGTCACCTAAACTTAGCCAATCGAATAGGATCCTCTTAAAGTGAGAAAGAAAAATAGGCAGCTGTTGAGATTCTTATGTCTCTGCTGATTAAAAAGAGAATATTGATATATTGAATGTATAACTACTTTTTTTTTTTTTTTTTTTGGATTGCTAAAGTTAAGTGAGGTAAATCCCAGCCTGGGAGGTATTTAGGTTTAAATATATAGTTCTGAATCATGGCAGCCCCCTTTTTTTCCTGCACCCTACAGATACCTATGAATTCATTTAAAACACAATATAGTAATTATGGTTGTTTAACAGTTCTTGCTGTCTGACTCAGTCACAGCATTCTTTGCAGAGCCAGGTTTTTGATTTTAGCTCTCCCACTGTCCCAAATTCCCATTACTGTACTGCAATGCTGAAAACGCATGCATTCCCAACGAGGTGTAGCATATTCCATTTGCATTCCTGACACAATGGACCAGCTGTGGAAGCATGTAGGGAACATATGAGGCTGTACAGTTTGGAGAGTGCATACTTCCCTCTCCTTAGTCCAGTGACGTAGGGGCGTAATGTGATGCAGAAGGAGATCTTTCCTCTTCCTCTGCTTGTATCAGGGCTGCAACCAGCCTTGCTTTGAGTAGAGAATGACTTAAGGTTATGCAGTGAACAATTGTGGAATCCAAAGCATTCTTCCATATTGTCCATACCAACTGGAAGCTATATTGTTCATGAGGATGCTCTTCACATTACTCTTCTCTCATTCTCCAGAGAATCTACGTGGTCAGTCTCATGCACACTTTGCCAGGCACATCTGAGCACAGTAAGGTAAAAAGATGGATAAGAAAATTTCTTCCTTTTATAAAGAGAGCTTAAAGTAGTTTGATTTAACTGGAAAGCAGTGTGAAAAGAGACAGGATCACTGCTTGTCCTGTTCTGCACTGCGTTACATTATAGTGATCTTATAATTTAATGTGTTTGTGGTCCCCTGCAAGGAAATAATATTTTCTGTGTGCATGACTTGGTTTCTGAGTAGTTACTTCTTGCATATATTTTTCTCTGAAGCATTGGAGAATGGCTGCAGCTGAAGATAGGCAGGGTGTGATAGTATTCCTAGTGATGTTAAAGTATTTCAGATGCCTTTTAGTTATGTTTTCTCAAATGCACAAGATTAAGCTAACTACGAATCCCTCAAATGAGACTGGTGAAGACTGCTTCCTTCTGTAACACTGGGCTTGTCACCAATGTGTTGCTTTCGAGTTACAGACAGGGTTTCTTGGGTTATCACTGGTGTGTTACTGTAAAGGCCGAGAGTGCTAACAATCTCTGCCACCTCCCACCCCCGCCCAGGGATGTGGCTGCATGTGCTCAAGGCCAGTGCTGACATTGGCGTGTCATGTAGCCGGGGACGAGGCTGCTGTGAGAAGAGCAGTGGGAGAGAGCTGAGAGAAGCCTTGCTAGGCGCTCCCCCTTTGCTTGGAAGCTGCATATTGGGAACACTTATCCTAGGTCCTTGCCTGAGCTACAGTGCAGTTGTCCGTGGTTGCAGAGCTCCAACCTGTCACTGTTGTGGTGGCCCCTGCTCCTCCTCTAGGGTGGCAGGGCAGTGGTGCAGATCATGACAGGGCACCCCCAAAGGGCTGGCAAACCCTCCCTGTGCACCATTAGGTGCCTCACCAGGGCAATAGCCAGGCCTGGCAGCTGCCCCAGGCTCCCGGCAGGTCAGCTTTGGCCACCTCATCACCCAGTGCCTCAGTCAGCCCTAATCTGTAGAGGCTGGCAGCCTGGCCTCTGCTGGCACACCTGCACCATTCAAATACACAATTCAGTTAAACAGAGCTGCAAAACAGGGTGAGGAGAACGAGCCCTTAGGGTCCACAATGGGTTAGGGATGACTGAGGAGTTCTTATAGCCCTGGGAGCTTTGTATCAACCTCTGTGTGTACATTCAAGGCCCTAGTTCTCTTTCTTTGTTCCTCTATGTTGCATTTTATTCTAGTCATTTTGTTTAGGATGGTTCTATACAGAATAAGTACTTGTTTTTGTTATATATTAGTTACAAATATATACATATGTGTTTGAAAACATTACACCCCACAACTGCACGCTGTAACACAGCTCCATATATCCCAAGACAGACCCAGACAAAGCCCAACAAGACCTGAGGCCAGTGTTGTTAGCGTATTGCAAGGCCTGTTGGCCTCTTGCAGGCATGCTCTGGTTCCGAGATTCCCAGAACAGATTTCGTCTCGCAAATTTCCTGCTATTGCCAGGATGTTGGTGATAGCCTTGGATTTTTTCTGCTCTTTTTCACTGGCAACGGTAACTTTTTCTGAGTGTAATTGTAGCTTTTGATCATTACCACAGGCTTTTCTTTTTTTTAATAAAATGAGGGGAAATGCTTTGTGATGACAAGATTGTTTGGAAGTACTCATCAGCTGTGTGAATATTTGCAGGTTCTATACCTTCATATAGGAGAGACTTTCCTTGTAGTCATACAAACTTTTTGTGTCTAAATCCCATAGCTTTAGTTCACTGTTACTAATATTTCACTTTAAGAAGTATTTCACTTTAAAGAAGGATTTGTCAGGGTCTGTTCAGCAGTCATCTGTGCCAGTTATGACCACCAAGAAAAGCCAAAATCAGCACACCTCTTCGTTGCCTAAACAGCGAGGAAAAAAGAAAGATATGTAACTTTATACTGAGTGAAAGGAAATCCTTAACAAAATTCCGTTCGTCTCTGGAACACGCTACGACCTCAGTTTCACGAAGTATTTGAGTACGTGTCTAATTTACAGATCTGCCTAAACAATTGTTTAACTAAGATCTAAGTGAGATATCTATAGTACAGTAGTAGCAAAGTAAAATTCATAAAGTCAATTCTTTATGAAGGATTTCTTGAAAACTCTGATGAAAAGTTTCCTGTCTTTTGAGTCCTTTATTTTCTAGGCTTTGTATAATTATGATCTAGTATTTCTGAACTGAAAATATTTAATTTCTTATAATTCTGAAGCACTAATACAAGTGTACATGCACTATGTCAGTGCTAATTGCCTCATGATAGCTCTTAGCATCAGAATATTAATAATTCTGAGTATTCTTCCATTTCTGTCCTATAGATGAAAATGGCAAATAAATGCTGTTCTGCCTCAGACCAGGTAAGACTTAAATTGTATTATCCAGATATATTCATCATTCCTAAAGCAAAAGTTATTAATTTTTCTAATTCTAGTCATTATTTTAAGTTGCAAAATTTGTAGAGCTAACATACAGACATTTAGCCGGTTTGCAAATTCTAAAAATACATTTGGAAAATCTGTTTTAAATTCTGAAATGTCATAGTTAACACAGCAGATTCTCACTAATCAACAGGAATGAGCAGAAACCCTAACTGTAGATTTAAAAAATAGAAATAAAGGAAAATTAAAAAAGAAGGCTCTATCACTGGATTAGGTGGAACCATGATCTAAATGAAAGAAGGAGACATTGTAACTTACAAATATGTCTTGGAAAACATACTATGTGCTTTCATTCCTATAGCTGCAGTGAGTCTGACAAATTATGTAACCTTGTATCTACATCACATTTTTATGCACAGATAACCCAGGAAAGTATTGCAAATACAATCTCCTTTGGATGTGTCGTACTGTACAGACTACACGTTTGCAGTAACCATTTGTCTAGGGCTTTTGGAGCTTGGGGAGCCTGATGCAATATTGCTGCACCTCTATCTAGGCAAATATCCTGAAGATCCAGGCAAATTTAGTGCACTGGGAAGTCTTCTTACTGTGGCAATGCAAAGGTTTTTTTCTTTTTTTCATTTATTTGGAAAATATAATTTTATCTTTTTTCCAGGCTAATTTTATAATTCTGGAAAATAAATTGAAATTTATGTCATAAAACTAATGAACTTCACATTTTTTTGGTATCATTGCCTCAATGTGGTGTTCAACCATTACTCAGGAAAAAAGAGCCCATTCTTCTTCTCATTATTAATCAAACTGATACAAAAAAAGGGGGGGTTATGAGTGCTAGGGGAAAGGTATTGAATTTGGATATATGTTGTTGGATGAACTCCCTACTACTTTAGTAACTGTTTACATGAAAAAGTAGATACCTGAATAACATTTTAATATGTAATGATATATTTAATCATCTACAAGTTAAAGAAATGAAGAATACTGATAAATGATAATTACTCCCTGTAATTGCTTACCTACCTGTAGTATGGTATAACTGCTAGTGTATAATTACTAATGATTAATAATGATATATGTTCCAAAATCTGTTTTATGTAGCTGAATCGATAACTTTTTTGGAGCTGCAGTAGTACTGAAGTCAAAGAAATGCCATATTTGCTATACTGTAGTATTCACATGAAAAGCTGAAAATGGAATTCCAACTTATATTTTATTAAAGATAGAAGTACTAATCGACATAAAAACGTCTGCTGTTAGGAAGCTCTTTCTTAAATTAAGCACAGGAGCACTGGAAGGATCCTTTGTTGATGCAGACAGCTTGAAGGGTTGGATTTAAAAGCTTTGGTTCGAGACGTTAAGAGCTATAAGGTAAATGAAGATGATATAAGAATAAGCCTTTTTGCATTAATGGATGACGTCAAATGGTTGATTCTATTCTTTTAAAGTCTATTCATCTCAATTTTTGTACACGAAATGTGATACTTTATGAAAGGGAAGAAATATTCTTCCTCAATTTGTAAAAAAATATTGAGGACAGTCATGCAACCCAAGATTAGATGCCTAATTTGATTTCTCAAATTGATAAGGTAGTCTCTATAAGCTACCTATAGAGTTAGCACAGAAAAATATTCTTTTCTAGAGTGTTATTCAAGTGTGGAATATATAAGTGTTTTAAATGATTCTTTATAGGAGCCTCTCCTTCTGCTTTGACTATACTGGGGTCCTAAGAAGAGTAGTCTCTTAACTTATCATCTAAGGTAGATGTTTAAAGTTAAGCAGTACAAATCCATCACCCTTTTTACATTCAGAATGTGAAAGAAAGAAAAGATGCAATTAGAACATTAATTTCTGGAATGGCAAAATTAAGGCAGGACTGACAGCGACAAAAACAGGAGTATTCTCTGCCAAAAGATGGAAGAAAATAAAGTTTAAATAGAATTTGGGTAGATCTAGTAAATAAAAGAAGCAAATATTAAAATAGGAAAGGAGCAAACATTAAAAACACAGACTTAAAAATTTCCTGTGAAAATTTGCCTTAAAAGTTGTTCACGTAAAAAGTAAATCTCTCTCTCTCTCTCTCACACACACACACTCACACACATATATCTATACAAAACACAAAGTAGTAAAGTCTTTAAACTCATGAAAGAAAGCTTTACAGTAATAACTGAAAACAGAAGATTTGATCTGCCCCAGATTAAAGGAGCCTAATCTTGTGGCTGACATAATGTGCATGCAAACTTGTCTTACTCTTGTTAATGCAATTGATTTAAAAGATAGAGAAGTAATAAGCTTGAGAGACTGGAGGTAATTTGAAGAGCTACCTTAAGTAAATTCTGTGGAAGTTGCAGATTTATCCTTCCTTTTGAGTATGGACATTCCTGAAGAATTAAATAGAGTCTTTCAGTTTCATTATTGTGTCAGTTGCCACGAGTTTTCTTCATTGCATTTAGAATCCAAACTAAGCTTTCAAAAAGGATGAGATCAGATCAGGCGAGGTTCCATTCAGATTCTCTTTTTCATAGGTGTGTAATATACTAGGATTTGGAGTCAACACATACAAAACTAGTTTGCTAAACCTAGGTTTCTTGCTTTCTTTTCATATTATCCCTAACTTATTTAACTGGAAATATTACTCTGGGAGTCCAGAACAAGATGAATTCCATGGGCATGTAGCTAAGCAAATTGTAGGGTGAAGGGATGGAACTAATGGTTCCCAGATCTAAAACAGCTCTATTTCTGAGTCTCATTGCTCAAAGAAGACATTAAACAAAAAGTTTGCACTTGGCCCTGCGTATAAGGTCCAAAGTTAGGAAGAGGTAGTAGCAAAGGTAGTGGTAGCAACGGTTGGAATTATTATAGCTATATTTATAATGTTAAATTAAACGGTACCGGGTCGTCAAGCTAATTGGCATGGTCTGGCTACATTCATGCTATTAACGTCTCTTCTCCCTCCAAAGCAGGCATTTAAACAGGGAAGGAATTTAAACTGTTGGAAATTCATTTTTGCCAGTGCTTAAATCCCAAACTGTTCTTGGAAATTTTTGGGAGAGTGCTAGTTATCCCAGACCATGGCATGCTAGTTAGTCTCTGTCAAGGATGAATTGTAAAAATTTGACAGGTATACAAATAACTACCACTGCCGTAGCCCTAACACTGTATATAACCTGTGTAGACCTCAGGTGATTAGAAGCATGAGACATCTGCGCACTGGGTACTTTTAGAGCAGATGATTGTTGTTCTGGAAGGAGATAGGGAGATTGAACCAGGTTGTACGTTATTTTATTGAGTGTGGAGGATGTTTACAGCTACCATTGTCCAAACATTGTAACTTTTGATTCTGCTTAATATAAATTGTTACAGCGCTCTAGAGACTTGAAAGCACTTAATTCTGTTATCAATAAGTAGTTAGATTTGTGACTCAATTTTCAAAAAGATACGAACCACTGGATTGCTGCATATTTTTTATGAAACAGTAAATTAACTGATTCTCTCTGTACAGAAAAAATACTTGCAAGGTTGCTGTTTTTTTAAGACTAATATGAGCATTTCCCATCCACCACTAAAGCAATACCTTTTCTTCTCAATATAAATAAGAAAATATTGGTTAGATATTAATCAAAACTATGTATAATTTATTTGATATGCTATAAAACAGATTTTCAGAGTTTCCTACATCTCTTTCCTTGTTTGTTTTGGTTTTTTGCAGTTGGAGGAAAAGATGAACTCTCTCCCTGCCATTGCATGCATATGTATATTGCATTTACTCTTTTGTAGTGATTGCATGAGTTTCAATATTTATAACAGTCGGTGATTTAGAGCATGAAGGAAATTTCATGAAGTTGGAGCCTTGCTTAAATTGTGTCTTTTACCTGGCTTGTGCATGGTGATCTCTCAAATATTCTCATCTGCAGCCCTGCACTTGTGAAACCTCCACTATATTACACAAAACCTGTGTTTCTGCTACAGTATCACCAATCCATAACATGCGTTTGAATCCTCTGACAATATTCTTCCAGAGCTGTTCACTGGCCTTTGCAACCTGAGTCAAGGCCTACAAAGGGCACACTAACATGCTAATTGAATTAACTGGGATTGGAATCATTCTTTTGTTTTGTTTCTGACATATATCTTCAGTGAAGAAACAGAGTTACTTGCCTGCCTAAGTCACGAGCTCTTCATTGACCTCTGGAATACAATAATTATAAAAGAATAGCATGTACCCAAAAGGCCAGGACACAGATTAAGATGTAACCAGCAAGAGATGTATAGGTAACAAAAAATTACCCTGTAAGTTCATTAATAGCAAGAAGATGACCAAGGATGTTTACTTGTACTCGGTTTATCAGAGATCAGCCTTCACTAAAAGGTCAGCTGCAACAAATGGTTATTGCAAGTAATGCTAGCAAAATATGGCAAGATCGCAGGTTACAAAATGAAGGAAAATGTTGGTGGTACTTATGCTTTCAATGCCTGGTGATTTGTGAAAAAATGGTCAAAGTAGTCTCAGAGCTATTATCAGGATATCTCAGGGGATTTATGACTGCCAGCTGACAGATAAAAGACTGGGAAAGGGCAAACACAGTGACTGTTATTGAAAAGAAAGAGAAGTTGGAGAATTAGAGACTGGTCAACTTAACTTCAAATCCTAAAAAAAAATCTGAAATAAATAAGCTGAACATTTGTATACAGCTGAAGGATAACAAGCAGATGAATGGTAGTCATGAAGGATTTGTCAAGAATAAGTAGTGAATAGCTAATCTAATTTCCTTCTGTGGTAGGATAACCCATCTTGTGAATGAGTGAGAAGCAGTTGCTGACATATCTTGACTTCAGTAAAGCTTCTGACACTTCTTGACAGGAGAGTATTGTAAACAAGTTTTATCCAGGTTTTCTGGCACAAACTTTGTGGGATAATCCAAGAATAGATGTAAGTGGTTCACTTTTAAAACTAAATC